GTTCCGAGGGTTCGAGTAGGTCCGCCTTGTGATATCAGACTTGTCGGTGTGTTCGGGCGGGGCACGGGAGCACCGAGCGTCAAGCGAACGAGGCTCGAGCGAAGTTAGAACTTGTAAAAAGGACTGAAGTTTGCTGCTTTTGTCATAACCGCATCTGCAGTTCTTGGACCGCAGAAGCGGGACCGCAGATGCGGTCAGGACACCGCAGAAGCGGCCAAGGCAGCCCAGGGGAAAGATCGCAGAAGCGGTTCTGCATATGCGGCACTTCGACCGCAGAAGCGGCCCAGCCATCTTGGGTCAGGACCGCAGAAGCGGCCTAATATCCGCAGAAGCGGAAACAGCTGGGCAGAGGGGTTCATTCAATTCGAACCGAAAGCCATTTTTATCATTTCTCATTCCATACTTAGGCGATTTGGGTGCTTCCAAGAGAGGGTTTCCACATAGCTTGGTAAGGTAAGTAATTTTCCTTCATCCTTAGTTTAAATGCATGTGTATTAGGTAGATTAAACACACACAAAAATTGAACAAAAATTAAGGGTTAGAGCTAGGCCTAGAGTTTTAATAAAACAAAGATTTAATCATGTAATTCGCCATATAATGAACTAGAAATCATATATTATCGATCCTTAGGGCATAGAGAACAATTTCCTTCGAAAAATCTCGGAATCCGGGCACGTGGGCCCGGGGTCGGAAATTTAGGAAACTTATGCTAGTGGTTGGAGAATTTCTTAAATAGCTAGGATTTGATCTTGTGAGGTTATATTAATTAGTTCTTGCTTCGTTTAAATAGTTTGGGATTGTCCGGCTTTGAATTAAGGACTTGGACTCATTATTGGAAGTTGGAAGTGCACTTTGGAGCGAGGTGAGTCTCCTTTCTAACCTTGTAAGAGGGAATTGTTACCTTAGGTGAGTTAATTAGTTATGTGCTCCTATTTGTGGGGGCTACGCACGCACGAGGTGACGAGAGTCCGTGCGTAGCTACTATTATGCTATTGTACGGGTAGTCTAGGACCCAAAAGCATGCTATACTTGGAATATCTGTAATCCTATGAACCTTTGAATTCTTGAATTAAAGTGAACTAGTGAATGAATGTCTAAGAGGAATTAAACTTCATATTCTTAAATTGTTAGAAGAGGATTGGCCTTTATTTGAATAATTGCACCCCGATAAATTCTTAATCTTCTATTTGAGCATGTATTTTACGTGTACCTGCGTCGCATGCATGATTCGCGAGCAGGGTGGTTGTTTATTTAAATGTTACCGCGTCACATGTATGATTCGCGAGCGGGGTAATAGATATATCTATGGTTCGAGCCGTTCGACCCTCGGCAGTGCACATTTACTTTTCTGTTGGATCGGGCCGTACGTTCCTCGGTGGTTATTTGCGCATGAGTTATCTAGTCCTCTACCTGTGGTTCCAACTTTAGAATTGTTTGAATATTTATATAGGAATGAACACTCTTTATGGAAGGTTAAAGGAAGGATTTCTATTTCATACTTGGAAGTGAGTTATACCTACTTATTATTAATTATTCACATTATTACTTGACCTTAGTAAGTATCAAGTCGACCTCTAGTCTCTACTTCTTCGAGATTAGGCGGGATACTTACTGGGTACATGTTGTTTATGTACTCATGCTACGCTTCTGTACTTAAATGTACAAGATCTGAGGTAGGTGGATCTGGACACTATTCTGGTGCGCATCAGTGAGCATCTTTGGGACTTCTACGGTGAGCTGCTTCTCTTTCATGTCGATCCGCAGCCGAAGAAGTCTTTCCCTGTACTTTTGTTTCTGTCTATCCTGATTCAGACAGTAGGACATTATGTTATTATTGTGTATATTCTACTAGTCGCCCGTAGCTTGTGACACCAGGTTCTGGCACACACGATAGTAGACATTTGTTTTGGGTTGTATATCTATTTTGATACTTTATTCACCACTCATGGCCTTAACTTAAACTTCGAAAAATATGTTACACTCAGTTTTTGGTAAAAGTAAAATGAGAACTTAATTATACTTCCGCGTCGCTGGCCTAACAAAGGTGTTGGGCGCCATCATGACCTATTATGGAAAATGGGTTGTGACAACATGGTATCAGAGCACTAGGTTCACGTAGGTCTCACGAGTTATGGGCAAACCTGATAGAGTCTTGTTGATCGGTACGGAGACGTCTGTATTTATCTTCGAGAGGCTATAGGGTATTAGGAAAGACTACTCTTTATTCACTTCCTGTCGTGCAGTGCTTAGAGTACTAAATTTCCCTCTTCTATTCTCTCACAGATGGTGAGGACTCGTACCGCCGACGTTCCGGACCCGGGAGGAGCTGCTCCCCCCGTTGCTAGAGGCCGAGGTAGAGGCCAGGGGAGGGCGCCGGCCCGTGGTTGGGGGCGAGGGCGTCCAAGAGCTATTCCAGTTGCACCACCAGCAGATCCTGCGAGGGATCCGATCATTGAGGAGCAGGGCGAGGTGCCCGCAGCTGAGCCCACCCCGGTTGATTTCATGACAGCACCGGGATTTCAGGAGGTCATGGGCCGCATGCTTCGGTTCATGGATACTATGATGCAGGCTGGTTTATTTCCAGCAGATCCAGCTACCTCACAGGCAGGAGGGCGAGCACAGACCCCTACCGCACAGGCTCCAGGTCATACAGCCGCAGTTTATCATACTCCGAGTGCACTACCCGCGGAGGGGGTTCAGCCAGTTGCTGCAGTGGCACCCCAGCCCAGGCCAGCTATGGACGGTGATCCGCAGAAGTTATTGGACAGATGGACCAGGTTGCACCCTCCAGTCTTCGGGGGGTGAGCGTCATGAGGATGCCCAGGATTTCATTGACAGGTGCAGGGATAGACTGCACAACATGAGGATATTGGAGTCGCATGGAGTCGACTTCACTACTTTTCAGCTGGAGGGCACGGCCCGTAGATGGTGGCAGTCTTATGCACTTAGCAGACTAGCAGGTTCTCCTCCCCTCACCTGGGGTCGGTTCACACAGTTGTTTCTTGATCGGTACATTCCCCCCTCTGAGAGGGAAGAGCTGCGTCATCAGTTTGAGCATTTGGAGCAGGGTCAGATGTCAGTGACCGATTATGAGGCGAGGTTCTCTGAGTTCTCTCGCCATGCACTTATGATACTCCCCACAGAAGCAGAGAGAGTTTGGAGATTTGTTGCGGGGTTACACCCTACTATCCGGTCAGGTATGGCCCGAGAGGTAGAGATGGGCACAGGGTATCAGCTAGTATTGGAGATTGCTCGCAAGATTGAGGGTTACCGTCTGAGGGGCAGAGACCAGATGCAGCAGGACAAGAGGGCCAGGTTCTCCGGAGAGTTCAGGGGTGCCCCAGGTAGGGGCAGAGGTCAGTTCGGGAGGGGTCNAGCTGCGATATCAGTTTGAGCACCTGGAGCAGGGTCAGATGTCTGTGACCGACTACGAGGCGAGGTTTTCTGAGTTATCTCGCCATGCACTTATGATACTCCCTATAGATGCAGAGAGAGTGCGGAGGCTTGTCGCCGGATTGCAGCCCAATATTCGATCGGGTATGGCCCAAGAGGTGGAGATGGGTACAGAGTACCAGCTTGTGGTCGAGATTGCTCGCCGGATTGAGGGATATCGCCAGAGGGGTAGGGAGCAGATGCAGCAGGACAAGAGAGCCAGATTCTTTGGAGAGTTCAGAGGTGCCCCAGCTAGGGGCAGAGGTCAGTATGGGAGGGGTCAGCCCAGTAGGCCCTCATCTTCAGCACCACCACCTCCCGCCCGGGGTGCTCCAGCACGCCCCTATTTCAGTGCCATGCCAGAGAGTTCTTACCGCCCGCCAACTATTCAGGGTTCTTCCAGTGGGTATTCAGGTCCTTAGAGTTCTTCTGGTCCCTACTTCAGTGCTATGCCGGAGACTTCATATCGCCCACCGGCTATCCAGGCTCCTCCCACGGGGTCTACGAGTCATCAGGGACAGTCATCAGGGCAGCAGGTTGCCGCACCACGTTGTTTTGAGTGCGGTGACCCAGGCCACATGAGGAGATACTGCCCCAGGCTTAGGGGAAAGGCAGTACAGCAGGGGCAGCAGCCCATGACTCCAGCACCAGCGGCCCAGCCACCTAGAGGTGGAGGGCAGAGTGGTAGAGGCCGATCCAAAGGTGGAGGCCAGACAGGGAGAGGTCAGCCAGCTACTCCTCAGTCAGGTGGAGGCCAGACAGCCGGTGCTCCAGCTAGATTCTATGCCCTTCCAGCCAGGCCGGATGCATTGGCCTCAGATGCCGTCATCATAGGTATTATCTCTGCCAGCGGTAGAGATGCATCGGTATTATTTGATCTAGGGTCCACTTATTCTTATGTATCATCTCTGTTTGCTCGTTTCCTGGCTATTTCACCTGAGCCCTTGGGTGCTCCTGTTCATGTGTCCACTCCTGTGGGTGATTCAGTGGTTGTGAACCGGGTCTACTGGTCTTGTGTGGTTACTTTCTGTGGTCTTGAGACTAGAGCAGATCTCCTGTTGCTCGATATGATCGATTTTGAGGTTATTCTGGGCATGGATTGGTTATCTCCATATCACGCCGTTCTAGATTGCCATGCCAAGACTGTTTCTCTAGCGATGCCAGGGTTGCCGAGATTGGAGTGGAGGGGTTCCACTGTGGATACACCTAGCAGGGTCATTTCCTTCCTGAAGGCTCAACGCATGGTTAAGAAGGGGTGTTTGGCCTACTTAGCTTATGTTCGAGACACCACCGCAGAGTCCCCGACGATTGATTCAGTGCCAATAGTCCGAGAGTTCGCCGATGTTTTTCCTTCTGATCTTCCTGGCATGCCTCCGGATCGTGATATTGATTTCTGTATTGATTTGGCTCCAGGCACTCAGCCTATATCTATCCCGCCGTACCATATGGCTCCTAGGGAGCTGAAGGAGCTAAAGGAGTTGGAGGAGTTGTTAGCTAAAGGGTTTGTTAGGCCCAGTGTATCGCCTTGGGGTGCACCAATGCTATTTGTAAAGAAGAAAGATGGGACTATGCGGATGTGCATTGATTACCGCCAGTTGAACAAAGTCACCATCAAAAACAAGTATCCACTACCCCGTATTGACGATTTGTTTGACCAGCTGCAGGGTGCTAGGGTGTTCTCTAAGATTGACTTGAGGTCAGGGTATCATCAACTGAAGATTCGGGATTCAGATGTTCCGAAGACTGCATTCAGGACTAGATATGGCCACTATGAGTTTCTGGTGATGTCATTTGGCTTGACTAATGCCCCGGCGGCATTTATGGATCTGATGAACAGGGTATTCAGGCCTTATATTGATTCCTTTGTCATCGTCTTCATTGACGACATCTTGATATACTCGCGTAGCCTGGGAGAGCACGAGCAGCATTTGAGAGTAGTGCTTCAGACCTTGCGAGAGCAACAGCTGTATGCTAAGTTCTCCAAGTGTGAGTTTTGGCTCGAGACAGTGGCATTCTTGGGGCATATTGTGTCCGGAGAGGGTATTAAAGTAGATCCTAAGAAGATCGAGGCAGTCCAGAGTTGGCCACGTCCTACTTCAGTGACCGAGATCAGGAGTTTCTGGGATTAGCAGGTTATTACCGGCGATTCGTGCAGGGCTTTTCATCCATTGCATCCCCCTTGACTAGACTGACTCAGAAGGGTGCCCCGTTTGTTTGGTCTGATGATTGCGAGGAGAGCTTCCAGAAGCTCAAGGCAGCTTTGACTACGGCACCAGTTTGTGTATTGCCTTCCGGTACGGGGATGTATACGGTGTATTGCGACGCTTCACGCGTTGGTCTGGGATGTGTGCTGATGCAGGTGGGAGAGCTATCGCATATGCCTCACGTCAGCTGAAGATTCATGACAAAAATTACCCCGTGCACAATCTGGAGTTGGCGGCGATTGTTCATGCTCTTAATATATGGAGGCACTATTTGTATGGGGTGCCTTGTGAGGTTTACACCGATCACCGCAGCCTGCAGCATTTGTTCAAACAGAGGGATCTCAATTTGAGGCAGCGCAGGTGGCTTGAGTTGCTGAAAGATTACGACATCACCATTCTTTATCATCCGGGAAAGGCGAATGTGGTCGCGGATGCCCTGAGCAGGAAGGCGGAGAGCATGGGTAGCCTATCATTTATTCCAGCAGAGGAGAGGCCACTAGCTTTGGACATCCAGTCCTTGGCTAACAGACTTGTGAGGTTGGACATTTCAGAGCCCAGCCGAGTTCTAGCGTGTGTGGTCGCCCAGTCTTCGTTATTGGGGGAGATCAAGGCCCGGTAGTATAATGATCCACATTTAGCAGTCCTCAGGGAGACGGGACTTTAGGGAGGTGCCAAGGAGGTTTCTATTGGCGAGGATGGTGTGTTGCGGCTCCAGGGCCGTCTATGTGTTCCTAATGTGGAGGGTCTCAGGGAGCGGATTCTAGAGGAGGCCCACAGTTCGAGGTATTCTATTCATCCGGGAGTCACGAAGATGCATCGTATTTGAGGCAGCACTACTGGTGGCGGGGGATGAAGAAGGATATAGTGAAGTATGTGACTAAGTGTTTGAATTGCCAGCAGGTCAAGTATGAACATTAGAGACCAGGCGGCCTACTTCAGCGGATGCCTATACCAGCGTGGAAATGGGAGCGCATTACCATGGATTCTGTAGTTGGGTTGCAGCAGACTTTGCGAAGGGTTGATTCAGTGTGGGTCATCGTGGATAGATTGACCAAGTCGGCTCATTTCATCCCAGTAGCGACTACTTATACAGCGGAGAGATATGCTCAGATCTATATTCGGGAGATATTCCGGTTGCATGGTGTGCCGGTGTCCATCATATCAGACAGAGGCCCTCATTCACTTCCCATTTCTGGAGAGCCGTGCAGAGTGAGTTGGGGACTCGTGTAGAGCTTAGCACAACGTTCCATCCTCAGACCGACGGACAGTCGGAGCGGACGGTGCAGATTTTAGAGGATATGCTTAGAGCATGCGCGATTGATTTTGGAGGGCAGTGGGATCAGTTCTTGCCCTTAGGGGAGTTTGTATACAATAACAGCTACCAGTCCAGCATAGAGATGGCCCCGTACGAGGCTTTGTATGGTAGGCGTTGTCGTACTCCTATCGGGTGGTTTGAGCCTGGAGAGGCTAAGATACTTGGCACAGATTTAGTATAGGATGCCTTGGATAAGGTAAAGTTGATTCAGGAAAGGCTTCGCACAGCTCAGTCCAGGAAAAGAGTTACGCGGATCAGAAGGCACGGGATGTATCATTTATGGTGGGCGAGAAGGTTCTCTTGAAAGTCTCGCCCATGAAGGGCATTATGAGATTCAGGAAGAAGGGCAAGTTGAGCCCAAGGTTTATTGGCCCCTTTGAGGTGTTGAGCAGAGTTGGGGAGGTTGCCTATGAGCTCGCCTTGCCTCCTAGCTTATCAGGATAAGCTCGATGTTTTTCGATTTTTTTCGATTGGGTTATGTTCCCTTAGCCTATTGTGATGTATTCGTTGTGGTTTTGATCAGATTCGACGCGCGAGGAGGCCGATTTGAGAGGCAAGGGCATAGCGAGCTAGGATTTTGGCCGGCTTGAGGTGAGTAATGATAGTAAATGATATCCTGAGGGTTTGAAACCCCGGATTTGCACAACGTAGTGCTATATTGAGGTGAAACATGCGCCTTATGACGCGCGCAGGGTTATTTACTACTGGGGATTGTGACTTGGTCCGTCCCGATTGATATTTTTACCGCGTATTTAACTGAGATGTGTTTGTTATCAACATGATTTGGGCTTCTTCCCATATTTTGGGCTTTATGCCGACTACTTGTATCCTTCGTGGATTTTTATCACTCTTTCCTCACTATTTGATGTACTACTTGAACTCAGTCTTGTTGATTATACTGTTTTACAAACTCAGCCACTTTAATTGAATTTTGAGACTTTAATGATATTTTCACTGTTGTTTGGGCTGAGCACTACTATTTTATTGATGCCCGAGGGGCTTATGATGTTTTTTGGACTGAGTGAGGCCGAGGGCCTGAGATACATTTATATGCCACGAGGCGGCTGGAGTGATGTGAGGAGGCTTTCAGGACTCGTGAGCGATGTGAGGAGGCTTTCAGGCCTTGTGAGTGATGTGAGGAGGCTTTCAGGCCTTATGAGTGATGTGAGAAGGCTTTCAGGCGTTATGTTGATATAGCGCTTGGGCCGTAAGGGGCCCCTCCGGAGTCTGCACACCCACAGTGAGTGCGGGTACCCATATGATTTGAGAGTGAGCCCGAGGGGCTGATATTATGCTGAGTGACTGATACTGGGCCTGAGGGGCTGATACTATTCTGAGCGGTTGATACTGGGTCCGAGGGGCATATTTCTACTCATTATTTACTTGTTGTTTTACCTGATTTACCTGTTTTTTTAAAAGGAGATTTCATTTGACTCTTTACTGTTTTACTTTTTTAAGTGATTTACTGCCTGATATAGAATTTCTTTGTGCAGTTATGTATTTTCATGCCTTCGGTTATTATTTATTATTATTACTCACTGGATCGAAGTACTCACATTACTCCCTGCACCATGTGTGCAGATTCAGGCATAGCAGAGTTTGCACCTGAGCACTGATTTCCTTCCAGACCAGGCAGCGAGTTGGAGTTACGAGGTAGCTGTTGACGTCCGCAGCCCCTTGTCTCCCCTATTTTATGTCATTTGAGTTCTTTCAGACTATTGTATCAGATATTTTACATCGTAGACTTATAGCAAACTCTGTAGTACCTCATGACTTGTGACACCCCGGTTTGGGCTGTGTCGGGATGGTTTTCCCTCGTTATTATTGCTATTTCCGCATTATTTGCTATATTAAACATGTGTTAGAATTGTTAGTGTTTATTAATTGCTTCAAAAGAGGTGTTTGCGTTGTTCTGGCTGGCCTTGTCTTCACGAGAGGCGCCATCACGACCGGGTTTGGGAATTGGGTCGTGACATGAGCAATAATTTTAGGGAGTGATCGTGTCTTTTCCCAATAGTTGGAAAATTTTAAAGGTTAATATAACCTCTAATAATATCAAAATCTTTACTGATATTGTTCGCCTTTGTGGAACTTGAAGATGAGCAGCTTGATGCTGCTAAGACTATACCCAGTGCCTACGTAACAGAATTATATGGTAAAAAGTTTTCAATCTTCAAGCATATGAATAATTAAGCAAAAAAGGGTGGAGAGGGAAAGGATACTGAAGATGAATCCTCCAAGAAAAGTAACCTGCCAAATTTCAAGAGGAAAAACGGCATAACAAGAAGAAATATAAAAGTGAGATGAAGTACTATAATTGTTGGTACTTGTTCTTCTTGTGTAGATTTCATTTCAACAGTAATATTATTAAGAGTACTCTAAAGAATGTTTTCTATGGTTTTGGACGCACATGATAGTTTCTTTGTCTTAAATAATAATCATTTCATTTATAACTACTATGTTGACCATTATATTATGTCATGTTATTCTAGTAGCAATAATGTTGATGTTATTACATGGCATCCAAGGTTAGGTCACATAGGGCAAGATCAAATGAATAGATTGGCTAAGAAGGATATTTAGGTTCTTTCGCTAAAATTAAAATGCCAATGTGCGAAAATTATCTTGCCGGAAAGATTACACATAAACCATTTGAAAAGGCTAAGAGAGTTGATTTCCCATTGCAGTTAATCTACTCTAATAGCCGTGGTCCAATGAATGTGAGAGCAAGACCTGATGCTTTATATTTCATTACATTTATTGTGATTTCACGCGCTTTAGTATGTCTATTTGATTTCTTATAAATCTAAAGCACTTTAATGCTTTAAGAGATATTTAAATGAACTTGAGAATCAATTAGATAAAAAAAATTAAGACCTTAAGAACCGATAGAGGACGTGGATATCTATCAAAATAATTTGAAGAGTTGTGCAATGAAAAGGGCATCACGAGATAGTTAAATATTCCTTATACACCTCAACAAAATGGTGTAGCGGAAAGGAGGAATAGAATGATATTGGACATGATAAGGTCCATGATGGCGTATGCAGATTTACCTATCTCCTTTTGGGGAGATGCGTTATTGACTGCAATCTATATATTGAACAAAGTGCCTTCTAATTCAGTTTCTTCCACTCCTTGTGAGCTTTTGGACTGATCATATACCAAATTTAAATGATTTACAACCTTGGGTTTGTGCTACATATGTAAAAGATTCTTTTGGCAAGTTTGGTAAATCAGGTCCAAAAGGCAAGAAATATATCTTTATAAGATATTTGGAACACTCGTAAGGTTATTTGTTCATTGGTGAATTAGAGGATGGAAGTATTACTGAGATTGAATCATGAGATGTTATATTTTTGAAAAATAATTTTCCAAAGAATGGTGAGATATAGAATGAAGAGCCTTTTTATGAAATATTGAACTCAGATATTCAGCAAATGTCTTCTGACATGATTGATAATCAGATTGATTA